TGGACAATATCGTTAATGGAAATTTTCTTGTAAAGGAAAGTCACAAGAAAACCTTCCAGGATTCAAAGAAAAATGCAGAGAAATAACACAATTACTGAAAAGATAAAGGAGGGGATATGATGATGACATGGGCAACTGCTGTTCCTAAGGAGACTGAAGCAGCTACGCAATGCGAATATATCTCTAAACACACATACACACACAAAAAAAAATACAAAAAGAAACCTTTTTTAAGCTAAAAAGACACCTAACTCTAAAAACTAATGATTTCCCAGATAAAAGTAAAATTGAGCTATCTGAAAATATACAAAGTCTTGAACATCAATGAAAAAAAGAATAAACATAGAGGCAGGAGAAAGTTTTATTTAAAAATTAAAATAGTTTTGCTGAAGTCCAATCTTTTGTCACGTGTTCTTGGTGTTATATCTAAAGTTCAAGGCCTTAAAACCTAGATTACAACATTTTCTCTTATATTTTCTTCTCAGAGTTTTTATGGTTTTATCTCTATAAATTGGTAAAAGTTGCATTTAAAAAATTTCAAATTCCCCAACAGAATCTACAAAAACCTAGGTTAAACATCACACATAATGATGAAATATTGGAAACTTTCTCCTGAGATTGGAAATGAGAAACTATCACTAATATTCTATAATATCACTAATATAGAATATTGTACTAGAGGTTTTAACCAGTTGAACAAAGCAAAAAATACATAAATAAAACACAAAAATAAAATGTATAAAGATCAGAAAGGAAAAAAAAATCTCTCATTATTTGCAGATGACATGATTGTATACTGATAAAATCCAAAATAATACATAGATAATTAAAATTAAATGAATTTAACAAATTCACTTATACATGACAGTCACAAAACAATATATGGTGTTTTCTATATACCATAAATAAGCAACTTGGAAATTTAAATTTTAAGATGTTACTATTTCTAAAAGCAAGTAAAACACCAATATCTAGTAATAAACCTAATGAAAGATGTGCAAGACCTTTACACAGAAATATATAAAACTGTATTGAGAAACTAAATAAGGCTTGAATAAATGTAGAAATACATTATGTGAATGGATTGGAATACTGAATAAAATAAATGTCAGAATTCCCCAAAATGATACATATATTCAATATAAAACCAAAGCTGCAGCATGTGCGTGACAGAAATTGGCAAGCTGATTCTATAATTTAAATGGAAATGGAAAGACCCAAAAATAATGAAGAAAATGTTCAAGAAGTGAGGAGGCCTACAGACTCTGATATCAAAACACTATAAAGTTATAGTAATTAAGACAGTGCAGTAATGTTGCCAGGACAAAGACTGATGGAAACCAAATAGAGATCCTAGAAAAATTGACACACACATTCATGGGTGCTTCATTTTTTACAAGGATGGTACTACATAGTTGCAACAAAGGACAGTTTTTACAATAGATGGGCTGAGTCAACTGATTATCCATGTTGGGAAAAAGTGAAATTGGGCTTCTATCTTACACTACACATGATAATCAATTCTAGAGAGATTTTAGAATTAAAAGTGAAAAGTAAACCAAGAAAGCTACTAGCAGGTAATATAAGAGAATATCTTCATAAGCATAGGTAGGAAAAGATGTCTTAACACTAACCATTAAGATATTAACACATATAACAAACACAGGGTTAAGATTCTTATCATTTAAATTCCTTTAATAAAATAAATCATACAAAATAAAAATTTACCATGCCACCAAAAAATGATCAGAAAACACAAATAGATGAGCTATATGAGATTATTTACAGTCAGTGAATGTACTGGTATGTGTTCAATTTCACTAGAGAGTAAAGATAAACATAAATTAAATTTTTTAACCTAGCAGATTGGCAAAGATGAAAATAAGAAAAGCTAAAGTTTAGTGTTAGCCAAGATTTGAGCTCTTTCATAAACTCCTTGGTGGAAATTTAAATTGGACAAGTTTTCCAGAGACTATTTGGCAAAATATCTCAAAATCCCTAGAAAATATACACATCTTCTGACCACTTCTGGAAATGTATCCTAAAGAAAAAGTTGAACTTTGCATAAATAGATTTTCATCATTGCAATTCTTATTTACTAATAAATCAAGAGAAAAAAGTCTAATAGGGGATTGGATAAATATATTATGAAAATCCACATAATAAGACCCTGTCATTATTATAAATAATAATTTGATTAAGGATCACCACCTAAGACATCCACAAGGTCAAGGTGTAACATAAATGAGTGAAGAGGTTCTTTGACAAACTGACAGCACACACCCCTTCTGGAGATGGCAGCTCCAATCAATTGATGCCAAATAAGAAGTGGGAGGTGTGAGCAGTGTCTAGTGTTGTCAGAATTTTCAGTATTTTAAAAGATGCACAAAATTGAATATTTTATGTGAAATCTCCTGATTTTTAAAAGGTTTCTATGGTTTAAAATTTTTTGGAAAAGATTCAGTGGCCAAATAAAATACATCATTTGTGGACTAGATTCAATTCAAAGGCTGAGCATTCCAATGTACACAGATTTTTATTGACATAAAAAGATATCTGTTATGTATTGTTTTTATTGTTGTAAAAAGCCAGTAATAAAACCATTTATATAATGTGATCTCATTTTTGTTAAAAATGAAAGTTTATTTACATGTATGTAAAAGACAGTATGTAAAATAAATATAAACTAAACAGTGTATACATATACATGGTGTATATGCACACCAAACAGTGCCTGAAAGGTTCTAAATGTTAATAGTGGGTGATTTTTATTTTTACATATTTCTGTACTTCTGCATTTTCATATTGACCATCAATATTTTATTATCACAAAATATGATAAAACCTCTTTTCATTTGTTAAAGGAGTTAATAGTCTAGTTTAAAATTCTGATAATCCAACTGAAAATTAAAGCACTGAATAAAATACTTGCACACAATATCAGACAAACCAGAACTCAAAGTCAGTTCTTCCATTTACTAGGTTAGTGGCCTTGGGCTTTCTCACTTATGAAATGTCAGTGATAATACCTACCTACTCTGCCTCAAACCGCCTTGGTAGTGTAAAAATTAATAAGTAAAAATGGAATTTATATCTACCATGCTACTTTCCTAAAGCCACCAAAAGTCAAGTGGATAGAAGAGGGCTTTTTCTACTGCAGTTCAAGTGCAGAAAGGAGGCAAGACCTTTACAGAATAATAAGGTGAAAGTTTTGTTTGTTGGTTTTTGCTGTTCCATCCAGAGGCAAGACTGCCACTGTGACCTTTTCCCTCAGGCCGGCTTCCCTCCCCTTGCCCACCACCTCACTCCCTGTCTAGCAGCGATACCAATGCAAAGGAGCAGAGAATGGCTGGACATCCCACTGCAAGAAGCAGCATGGGAGGAAGTGGAAGCAACACTATGTTCTCAAGAATAGTGGGGTTTTTTTAATTCAATTTACTTAAACTAAAACAACAACGACAGTTCAGGAATATTTGGGAAAGCGCTAAGTGTGACTGAAGCTCCCAGGCAAATGGAATGAACTAGGGAAGCCACTTTCAACCTTCAGGTAAAGAAATGAATAAATATTCTTCAAGAGTTTGTCACCCTTGATCTTCTCCTCCCATCTCTCTGTATCACCAGTAAAGGCATAGATTTCCTCACATGGGAATCAGGGAGGTGTAGATGTCCACAAGTGAAACCAACTTGTGGCTGATGTAAGATGGGTTTTGTTTCTATATCACCTCTTCTTTATCAAGAGGGATTAGATACCAGCATTCCACTATTCCGTCTACCATGCAGGTTAAGTATAATGGAGGGTAATGAAGTTTTTTCAGGCTTATTACAGCACCATTGGAAACCTACCTTAGAATGAGCTCATGTACCTTCCCAAGTGCCCAGTTGTAAACTCAAGGAGAAATGTCATCATATCTGGTCCATGGAAATATCCCTTTAAGATATTTTGGATATAATAACCCATTTTCATTATCTCTCCTTTTCAATTAATTCACAATAAAGGAAAACACTAAAAGTGTTGTTTCATATCTTTACTGTTTCAGTAATGTGCAACATGAACATAATAGTGTTAAGAAGTCAGAAATAACTTAACACAGTAGCTATAGAAGATATTTATATTTGCAAAATTTCAACAATTACCTTCCCTAGATTTCCCCTAATTAGCATATTTGTTAATCAAATTAATTAAGAAGCTTTTCAAAATAAAAGCAATGTTGTAAATAAATATATTTTCATAACCATAGAACATTTAGTTCTCCGGGAGGTAACAAACATACAACACTCAAGTACTTTATGAAGATATTAGGGTAAAAATGATCTGGATGCAATTATAAGTGTACTCCTAGTAGCCATCTGCCTCTTCTGTGTGCATGTTTTCTGCATGTGTTAAAATTATATCATAGATATTTTTGTGATCTGTTAGTTCTTAAATCATCATGAAGATGTTATCTGACCCACAGAATTTATATCAGCTCAACATGACGATATGGTATTGTTTAAACAATGTCTAGATTTAAATTTAGTACTTTAAATTCAATCCAAGCGAAGACCTCCTAGCTGCCCATGTCTGTTATAGAAAATGAATGCCACATTCCCAGTTTGGAAGAATACTTCCCTACAAATCTCAGACTTGAAATGTCAGAACTGAATAATATTGTCACGTCAAAATTGTAATTACAACAGATCCAGATCTTTCACTGTGTTTCAGAGTACCACACAGATGAGTATAAATTTAGTTATGATCAGCTTTTCACTGAAATCTTATCTTTAGTGAATAACTACAGAAAACTTTCTAGAATTGATTTTTTTGATAAATATTTTAAGGAGGTCACTAACTGAAGAAATGACTGCTGATCTTTCTAGAATTCTGATCATTTGTTTCTCTTTCATTTACTTTTATTTCTACTATAATTCTTAGGAATTTTTCTAATCTATATTTAATCTATCAAAACATCTATGCCTTGGCAAATTTATCTTCCTTCAATAATAAGCTACGTTAAGATCTCTAAATTAAATGACAAAGGTAAGAAGCAAAATTAAAGAGCAACAGGTTATAGTAGGTGCTCTGCAGAATCTCAGATTAACAAATTTGTCCCCAAATGATAAAGTAATAAATTACAAAATGAATAATGCAACACAGAATAGATTTTAATAAGATTTCGATCTCTCTCAATCTCTCAACTTCACTGTTTTTTTTTCCGTGTTCTCTCCTAATCTCTCCCCCTCTCTCTCACACATACACACACACTTCCACCCACATCCATACACAGGTGTGTACACACATCTCAGAATGTAAAACACGGCTACTAAAGGTTTTAACTTAGATAAATTAACTATGTTAAAATTCTGACATAGTGAAAAATATCAGTTTATATCCAACACCCTATACAGGGTGTCTTTTTGTGAACTACTAAAACGCTTAAAGAAAGAAAACCTGAAAGAAAAACCAGAGTCCTTGCCGGGCAGGACAGGTCCAGGTGTCGGCGCTGCTCAGGGCCCCAGCCTCCCGTTCTCCTCGCCACTCTCCTTCTCCTCGATGGCTTCCAGGCTGCGCTTGCTCTTGGCCTCGGGGCCGGTGCTGGGGGCTTTACTGAGTCCACAAGACAAGCATGCCAGCTGGATCTGCTTCATGTTTTCTAGAGCTTCATTTTTGGCACTCTTCAACAGATCTCCTTGGCCCTACAAACAGACAGAAATACACACTGAAGAAGGAAGTTACGGGCCGGGCATATCCTGAGTAGCATCACTCGCTGCCCGTACCACTTAGGGAGAAAGCAAACCTAGACCTGAGAGCCACTTCTCCAGGGTTCAGCCCGAGGTGCTTTTCCAGCATCACTGAGGGTCTTTGATCGGTTGCTGGAAGCCCCTTTGAGATTCCAGTCGTGGGGAACAACCTCAGGGGACCCTCCTCCAAATGTACAAAGGACAGTTGTCCTTCCATCGCAAGGTCTGAGACTTCGCACACCACTGCAACTCCTGTCCCGCCCACGCCCAGCATTCCTAAGCCTGGAATGAATGAAGAAAGAAGCTTTTCCTTCAAGAACTGCAAATTAAACCAGCCCCTCGGTGTACAAGAGCTTACCAACCAAATATCTTCTGTAAAGTAAATCACGCACCCTGATGCTTGGTGGGCAGGCTTTTTGTATACTGGGTTATCTTTGTAATCTGCCTTTTGATAAGTTGTTACCCACATTCCTTCTACTTTTCCATCATTCTGAGGACAAAGTTCCCATCTGGCTAATGGAGAAAGAAGGGATCCTGAAGTTAAGCATGTCAATCAAAACCAAAAGCAAATGGGGATTACAGGAACATGTCAGCTGTCAGTTACGTCAGTGCCTGAGAAACATCTTTTCCCATAGTTTTAATTTATGCTAGTTCATCATTAAAGTGATCAAGTGCAGACGCTAACTCGAACCTGAAGGACCAAGTGTGGGGAAGCCAGAACATGCTTCCATAGGGTAGGGGACAAAAGAGGAAGTAGTTCCTTCTCTCTCTCCTCGCCAGTCCCAGAGCATTACTCAGGAGTGTGACCCTGGAGCTGTGAAGATGATCTGGGAGGATATGGCACTCGCCCTGGTTGCTGGAGGATTCCTATGCAAAGCAGAGACTCAGAGAAAGGATAAGTCAGCCATTTTATGCAAGGACTCCGTGATACACTCTTTTATCTCTTTAATTTGATTAATGCTTTTCCCTTAGGGCATTTGAGGAAGCTTGTAATAAAAATGCTTTGCTCTGCTTCCCTCCTTAGAATCTACTGAGGCACTTGCCAACCTATCCTACATAGTAACAGCTACATCCTTCTGATAATACTCTTTAAATGGGATAAGTAAGTAGGATTTTGCCTATTATTTTTGTTAAAGTGAAATTACCCCGATTGCCTCAATCATGGAATAGGATTTTAGAAGTAGACTCTGAAGTTTTAGAGTCTAGCCTTCTCATGAGGAGAAAAGAAGCTGAGGCTGGTAAGATTAAATGACTGACCCAGGGTGACCACTGATCAGTGACTGAGCTGCAACCAGGTCTTCTGTCTCAGCTCGGTGCCCTATTCCACACCATGTTTATAATTCAGACTAAGACTGAAAATGAGAGACTGAACACTATCAGTTAGAGGTGAATTTTCTAAGGGAAAAATATTCACTACACCAGCAGAATGTGGGGAGGTAGTTCTTAAGAGTGTGACATAATGAGTCCCCTCTGGACACTGATAAATGAAGCCACACACACTTTGAAAAATGCAATTCTAGGTAATAAGACTACAAGAAAGAAAGTGCCTACTCTGTATGATACATATGTTCATTCATGCAATTGTCACTACATCCCCATGAGATAGGTACTTTTGTTAATCTCAGCCTGTGGATGAAAAAACTGAGGCCCAGAGCCATCACCTTCCCTGGAGCCATGCAGCTGCTACGTGGTGGAGCTGGGGTTTATATAAAGCCTAGCAGTAGGCTCCAGAGTCTGCAGTCTTAACCACTACACGATATGGCATGTCTTCAGGGCAAATGGTGAACTCTTGACAAAGCAAATTAAGCCTCCTATTCATCGTTACCCATGGAAACAACACGGATAAAAAGAAAATCATTGCCCATGTGGCACAGTCTGACAGAACTGAGGTGGGAACTAGAGAGGTAGGAAATAGGGTACAGCAAGAACACCCTGGCCAGGACAAACATCAGAGTATCTTAGCTTTATTTTTAGCTCCAGCTATTTCTCCCTGAGCCATTTTCTCTTCTGTTAAAACAAAATACCCTTCTACTTTCCTCACAGTTTCAAAGTGTAAAGAAAACATATTGAAAAACTGTTTGCGATTTAAATAATCACAAGTAAACTATGCTTTAGGTGACATGAAAAGCAGTTAACATGGTCTACTACTATAATAAGTATCTTGATACTGTGCATATTTTAATATAAATTTTTCTAACTGGTTTAAAATGCATCTGTAAAAATCTGTTTACAGAGGTATGTATAGTGCTACTGTATTTACAAATGAAGAGAGTCCTTTAAAAAGGCAAACTGTAATAATAGATTATATCCACACTCATTTTCAGAGCACTGCTTTTAAGCGCTCCCTTTACTTTTAGTTCGGAAATTTTCATCAAGCATTTTAAAAACAAGACAAAAGCAAAATTGGCATCTTTCCTAATTGCAAGAGAACAGTGAAGCATGCAAAAATATCAAGCTTGATACTACTAATGCCTAATGCTCTCACATCCCTTTTCCTGCAGCAGGTTATAAAACATATCTATTAATCAGCCAGAATATCATCTCATCAGTTCTGAGAGGGGGCACCAGGCCTAAATGCAAGACAGTGCCAGTTCTAATACATAGAAGTCAGTTTCTCTAGAAAACAATGGCCAGTTGGGAAAAACAGTTTGTGCCAGGGCACAAAGTCACAACTACATCATCTCCTGACAACCAGGAGACAACACATCCTGGCTGACAATACAGACACATAAAAAAATAGAAAGAGAAATTACACTGTTAACTGATAGAAGAAAAAATGAAAGACTAAGTTATGAAAAGTTTATGGTGAAACATTTATGTAAAGATTTTGTTTTCAATTTTTTTAAGAAGGAGGAATAGAGGTCATCTTTCTGTTCTGCAGTTCATGGAGTCAATTCCATGAGTTGTCCTGATTAACGTATGAGAACCAGACAAGATCATTAGGGACAAAATTGTAGAGAAAGTGAAGTTTATTGCTAACAACTCCCATCCTGGTATGTTTAGTACTGACTTATTCCCATTTATGTGCAGGGATTTCCTTTGACCAACTAGCATCCCTCTCTTTACTCTGTTATATTCCCTCCCAAACTTCTAAGTACCCAACTTATAGTGTATCATTTCCTGCAAGATGTGTTAGGTATTCAGATTAGCTAAGCCATTTAAAAATATTGGGGTGTAGTATGTATTGAAGGAGTATTGTAACAGGGCATTTCTAAAGAATATACCAAAAAATTCTCCTCAGACAGAGGGCTTGGGAGGGGAGGGGAAAGAAGAGAAGCCTGGGACAATTCATTTTACTTGGTGGCATATATATTAAAACACCTCACCTTCTGGATACCAAAATCTGGGATTGTTGTGGCCTGGAATGCAAAATTAACATGTAATTAGATCACTGAACACTCAGCTGGAAAGAAGTCAAGCTACTGCTGACATGTCACTAGACTGGTAATCTCATGGAGTCCGGAGGTTCTGCTGGTACTAGGAATACTCCAGGAAAAATAAACGAGAAGGCCTGAGTAATGGGGTGCGTCTCAGTCAGGCTGAGGTGGATGGGACAAATAGGACTTTTCAAAAGTCTTAAAAGCAATAGCTACCAATTCAGCCTCCAGGTATTTGGCTTCTGAATGTAAGAATTCATGGAAAACCCAACACATTCAAAAAGTAACACCTGGAATCATAAAAATACATCAAGAGATAACTATAGAGACATTGAATCTACAATCAGAGGTGATTAATGAATTTTTTAAAAAAAGACATTAAGCATTCATGATCAAATCTTTCCAACTGCATTAAGTTGCAACTAAAATGCATTATCTAGAAATCAAGAAATATCTGATGCAATTTAAATTATAAATGGGCCTTCTGTACAATACCACAATTTTTATTATACTAATAAATGTACTTGCGACAATAAAATGCTATCACAACACTAAACAAAAGCTACTACTTGTCGAACATTTAATATACTAAGTGCAAACCAGTTTACACATATCATAACCATAAAGGGGGCAAGAATTCTAAATATGTTATCTGTGAGTTTTATATTTGTAAATTATCTACCAGTAATATATTTTATAGCCAATCAAAAGACATTTGGGATTTGTTATTCTTGTTCTTACTAACTAATGCAGTTCTCCCCGACTGTTTGAAAAAAGTTTGGGCTAAATCTGGCAGAGTAAATTACAAAAGGCATCCATGGATCCTACACACCCATTTTTCCCATGAACTGCCCTATTCCTTGTGATGTTAGTACACGAAAGAGCAGGAGGACATCATAACCAGTGCCCTTGTCATGTGTGAACAGAATGCACGGGTTGTCTCAGAGCATACCACAAATATTTAAAATGGCTAATTAGGGCTCTGAGAATGGAGAGACCCTCACATATACACAACTACACACATAAACAAATGCAGCTCTGTCTGCAGGCAGACGTGGGTGTTTTTCAGTACATGGTCAGTGGCTTACTGATTGCCCTAAAATTCTTTTCATGTGAGAGTCCACGTCCACTTCTAGAGTCACCCATGATCCATGAGCAGATGGAAATGGATAAGACTGCCGTATAAGTCGACTACAGACAATATGGTAGAATTAATAGCTCTTTATTTGTGCCAGTTACTATTTGGTGGGCAAGACAATACTGTGGTGCCCTACTACCATCTTACTAGTTCAAAAATCAGGCTTATTGGGAATCTCCTTATTACCTAAAGAGGCTAAATGTTTTGCTCCAAAAAGGTATTATGATGTTCCTCATTTGGAAAATTAAACTAGCAGATCAAAAATGTGTTGATGTCATGACAGATATATTTCTCTTGACATTACATTTCTGGAATATTGGGTAAAACTATACAAAGATGGTCTGGAATTCTTGCTCTCCAGAATGAAAGCCCAGTCATGTAGGGAATGTATACAAGATGTTAACAAGAGGCAGAAGGCACAAAGGTGTAGCCATTAGGGGACTGTGTACAAGATATTTTAATTGCACAAAAATAGAAGTTTCCATTGCACTTAGTTCAACAATCAGATTTATTATTTTTCAGCACATCGACAACCAAATATTTCAACTGCCACTCACCATTTAAAAAGTTGAATTTTTACTCAATGAACACTCAAAAAATATGAGTAAACAACTTTAGAGTATTTCTGGTCTAAAAATATTGGCTTAATGAAGCTTTTTATATTACTCTTCTTCTGAAACTCTGAACTCAAAAAAATTAAACACTGCTTTCAAATCTTTTACATAATGCAATTATATTATTTTTTTATGGGAACAGAAAGGGAATTACATTGGACATGTTCACCTAAGCCATTAGATTTCATAATTTCACATTAAGTTCAGTTTTGTGACTAATACATTTTAATATTGGTCATAAACTCCATTAATCAAATGTTTCTGAAGACTATGGAAATAGAATATAAATAAGTCTTTTTAACATCTGAGAACCAAATTCTGAAGGAAGAATAATTTAAAAGTATAGAAGATATTTCAAAGAAATTTTAAGAATAATTTAATATCAATGAAAAGACAACATTGGAAAATAAAGCAGAATGACATGTTTAGTAAGTACAACCATATAAAAAGTATAAAAAATTGAAGTCATTCTCTGTTAAATTCAACATAATGAAAGTTTATTTGGAAGTTAAATTTGAAAGTATATATATCATTTTGTTCTGCTAAGTAAGAGTTCTAAGAAATTTTTTCAATTTTTTAAGATAATTGAAGACAGTTACAATGTTTTAACTTTACAGGTGAAGAAATGGACTCAAGAAAGCTAAATAAATATATTGCCCAGGTTCACACATGAAATAAGTGTGAATGAAATGATTAATAATGCCTTCTTCCCAGGCCAATAGATGCTTTTCTTTCCCTGTATTATTTTCTTTGCATTTAGGTACATTACATGATATGTTGCATATGTCATCTAATAGATCTTAGAAATGTAAAGAAGAAAAATAATAGTTTAAGACCAGTTTGGTTTAAAAAAAGAAAAAAATGCTTTGATACAACCCCATGTATATCCCAAACATAAATACTACCTTTGTGCTAATACTTTGATGTCTGATTTTTTTTACCTTCGATGTGGGTACAGAGTTTGGAAGAATTTAGTAATTTTAATCTGAGCCAAATTTTCAAAAATCTGAAATAAAACGGCAGTGATAGAAGACTCAGAAATGGGAGAAGTATGGAAAAAATGGTTCACTTTAAAGATATCATCGTAAGACCTAACCAATCATCAGATCCAAAAAAAGATTATAAAAGAATCAAGTTCATCACAGGCACAAGCTGTACATTTTGAAGAATGCTGTTAATGTGAGAACCCATCAGTTAGCTCCCAGATCCCCGGGAAACTGGTTCTCCTTGCCCCTAAAACTTCTACATAGTCGGTGGTCCAGGATGGCAGCATGCATAAACTGAGAAGCAAAACCAGAACTCCGGGAGTGATGAAGGAACAGATGAATCTAAGATTTCCACATTTCTTATAACAATATTTCAAGAAACAATTTGGCCCAGAGGCTTTGAATTGTAACCACATTGCTATTCTATAGGTGAACTTAGCAGTGCAACCTCCACTGTCAGACTATCTGGATTCAAATCCTGGCTCCAACACTCACTAGCTTTTTGACCTTGGGCAAGATCACTCGGTGCCTCAGTTTCCTAAAATGGCTATAATGATTGTACCCATCTCTAGGCTTACTGCAAGATTAAGAGAGATAGTAAGTGTGAATCATTTAGAATAATGCCTGGCATACATGGCAAACGCTAATGACTGTTAGCTACTACTATTATTCTATAACAGAAAATGTAAATGTTTTGGTAAGTGCAATATTTCATTATTAATAAGGACAATGTTATAGATGTCTACCATACTTAAACTTATAAAATACAAGAGAATGAAAAACAATTTGAAACTTGAAAAAGACAAGTTGGCAGAGTAGGGGAATAAACGGTTACTGAGAGTAAAATTCAGGATTGATCCTCCACTGGTCCTATGAAGGGCCCCATACCCATAATCACTAAAATCTTAAAAGTAATAATTGCCTCACTGTGGGAACTTTCCTCGGAGAGCCCTTGAAATGTGTCATCCTTGTCCCTCCTAAAGCTCATTTTCTTATTTATAATTCAGAGGGCACGGCATTATTCAGTGTAAAACACTGAAGCATGGCCCACTATTGAGATAAAAGGTTAAACAGCAGTTTCATTTAAGCCAGATGAGAAAGTAAAAATGAACTGCAATCATCTGTCACCAAAGGAAATAATGCCAAATATTATCTTCTGTGACAGACCCATTGTATTTCTGAAGATACCGTAAGATAGGCTCCTGTGAGGGTGCTCTGGTTAGGAAGCCATCTGTCTCCTTTGGGCAAATGACTGCGAGCCTAATCCACTTATAGAAAATGTCAACAAAATTCCTTCAACACCAGTGAGCTGCATAATAGAAAACCCTGAGCTAACTTTAAAAATATGAGTCAACTGCAGAAAGCTTCATGAATTTAGGTTTGTGTGATGATACTGGTATCCTGAGGATTCTCTTGCAGTCGTTTTAACAAAAGAGCCATTCAATAAAACAACAAGAAGCCCCTGATGGCTGATTCCCCTGATCTCTGCTCTTTCCTTCCCGTTATTGTGATTATCTGCCTTCATGTCAACAGATCTAATAAGAAAGGAGAGAAAAGTAGAATCAACCTTTAGCAAGGTGACAAACGTAATTGCATTTCAAATGAAACTTTAGTAATGGATGGTCATCAGCACAAAAAAACAAATATTGTTTTAAAGTTCCAATACCTCAAAATTTCTTTCCTTGGATAATAAATGACCCTGAAATCTGAATTAATACTAATGTGAGTACCATAAGGCAAATGCAGAAGAAGCTTCTATAAAAACTTGTACTAAGCCAGCTCATGCTATTTCCATCTCAAATAAATCATTTATAACACCTTGAAAGATGTAGGGTGCTCCAAACCCCAGAGCAGAAAAAGGCTACAAAGACAGTGACTAATATTAGAAAAATATTATTTTTTATTAAGGTATCATTGATATACACTTTTATGAAGGTTTCACATGAAAAACAATGTGGTTACTATATTCACCATATTGTCGAGCCCACCCCCATACCCCACTGAAGTCACTGTCCATCAGTGTAGTAAGATGGCACAGAGTCACTACTTGTCTTCTCTGTGCTACACTGTCTTCCCCATGACACCCCCCTCACACCATGTGTAATAACCGTAATACCCCTCAATTCCCTTCTCCCTCCCTCCCCACCTACACTCCCACACCCCTCCCTTTTGGTAACCACTAGTCCCTTCTTGGAGTCTGTGAGTCTGCTGCTGTTTTGTTCCTTCAGTTTTGCTTTGTCATTA